AGGAGGGAGGGAGGCCCGATTTTTCCTCTGGCCAAAAGGGAAAGAGACCTTTTCCCCTTCTCCCTTTTCTTACAGCATTTCATTAAGAAAACCTGTATTTATAAATCCTTCCTCTGTTCCTTTGATATGCCTATAAATATTTTTTAAACCTAAATAAGCCTCTTGTCAGCACTACAATCCAAGAATGTTTTTCTTAAGGGCCTGGGAGCCATCTCTTTAGAATGAAAACATCAAGGAAGATAGCACCCCATCTCCCAGTCATTTCGGGTACTTAGCCTAGGTGCACTGTGCCAAGCTGCAACCACCTGCTTGCCATTAAGTTACAAGATGGTTTATNGCAACCCATCTCCCAGTCATTTCGGGTACTTAGCCTAGGTGCACTGTGCCAAGCTGCAACCACCTGCTTGCCATTAAGTTACAAGATGGTTTATTTTTTTCTTGGATAAAGGCAATTACCTAACACAGGCAGCCACCTCAATTACCAGGTAAATTCAAGATGAACTATGATAAAATGTACAGCAAACCATGTCATCAAGTCCTCTCTCATGAAGACCAATTATCATTTACCTTGTGAACATGTATATAATGAATTGTATCTGCTTGGCTATTTATTTAAAAGGGTGAGACTTCGTTTTGTCTTTGCAATCTCATTAGTTGGTTGCCTGGGATGTACATCACAGTCTGCTTAAAGTTTATCAATAATAAACCTTTTCTTTCATTTCTAAATTTGTGGAGAGAAATTTCTAGGTTGGCTGGAGACCTTATTTTTTATTTTTCTCCTAACAACTGCCAAGATGTATTTTTAAGTAAAAAGCAAACTGTAGAACTATATCATATGCATAGTATTTTTTAGGTGTTTTTTTTAATCCTTACCTTTTTTTCTACTGATTTTTAGAGCAAGTAGAAGGAAGGAGGGAGGGAGGAAGAGAGAGAGAGAAACACGGATGTGAGAGACACATCCAATTGGTTGCCTCCTGTATGCACATGTCGACCAGGATCTAACCTGCAACCCAGGTACTAGCCTTGACCTGGAATAGAACCCTGGACCCTTAGGTGCGCAGGCCGACGCTCTAATCACTGAGCCACACTGGCCAGGGCATATGTTTTAGTTTTAAAAATGTACGTTGGTATGTCTAGAGATATCTATATCAAACTGTTAAAAGTTTTTACCTCTCTGACAAATGAGAAGAGGAATTCCAGTTTTTATTTTATCTTATTTCATTACTTTTGTAATGAATGTTAGCAAAACAACTCACTTGTAATTCTTATTATTTTCATTAATTGATAATAAAAATATTTTTCATGTAAAACTATTTCTCCAAAATGATGTTATATTTTTTTCTTAAAGAAAATTCATATAAGGAATGTAGCTTTCAAGGTTTTATTCTTTGCAAATAGGTAGTGGAACACTTGATTTTGGATATACAAGACATCTTACCTGGACAATGAATGAAAGACCAGTTGTATCTGCTGTCCTCCAAACACATGCTGGAATTGAGAAGAGGCTGTGGGTAGAAATTTCCTATAGGGGCCTGAGAAGGCATCTTCACTGGTCCTTTATAGGAGCCCTCTATGCATTTCCCTTTGCCAGTATTGCTGGGATCAGTACACCAGCCGCAGCCTGGTTGCTCCAAGCAATGACTACAGGTACAGTAGCCTGAACAATTTTCAGCTGTTAAAAAAACATAAGTTGCAATTCACCAACTCCTATAGATCTGAATTCACTGTATTTAAATTACCTTTTTCTTTAACAGACTTTTCAACTTCTGTTGAGTCAAAATTCCTATTCTAGCCCAGCCGGTGTGGCTCAGTGGTTGAGCGTCGACCTATGATCCAGAAGATCGAAGTTTGATTCCCAGTCAGGGCACATGCCAGGGTTGTGGGCTCGATTCCCGGCAGGGGGTGTGCAGGAGGCAGCCAATAAATGACTCTCTCATCATTGATGTTTCTCTCTCTCTCTCCCTCTCTCTTCCTCTTATAAATCAATAAAAAAAATATTTTTAAAAAATTCCTATTCTATTGTGGCTGTTTAAATAGCATAACAATTTGAAGAACCCATCTTGCTCTACCTGTAACAGGGACTCCTCTACTCTCTCAATCCCAGGATGTTGTACACAGAAGGGACCTTAGAGGTCACCTACTAGAAAGCACTTACTTTATGAGTTAAGAGTATGTGGAGACCATACAGGATGAAGCAATATAATACTGAATGAAGTTGAGCAGTCATTTCTCTACTCTGTGATCTATCTGACATTTATTTACTTGTGTCATTGTGCTTCATTCTATATGAATGTTCTCATCAGACAGTCTATTACAGACCCGAGCTGAAGGTCAAGTCCAGTCTTGTCCCTAAAAGGTTCAGAGGTTGACAGCACTGCCTCACAGCAGGAGTTGTCACCCATACACAGGGCAGTTATTAGTGCCCAGAGCTCACTTTTCACTTACGGGGACAGCTGCTCATGGTATACCACTCCATACACTGTCCATAAGGGAAGGAGGCCACGTAGGCATTGGAGTCCACACACTGCTTCATGTTGCTGCACCACATGCACTCGGAGCTGCCACTGGTGCACTCTCCACACGCTGTCCTCAAGGCACATGGCATCCGGCATTGCTTGCTGCTGTGGTTTGCTGGGAAGTAAACCCAAGAGAGACACTTAGAGCTCCCACCAGGTCAGCTAAGGTCAAAGGCTTTTCAGTGTGGGTTCTGACCCACTAGTCTGTCATGAAATCAATTCAGTGGACTGTACTAAATGAAGGAGAAAACAGAAAACGTTAGAGTCACCATGTACTGTTTAGTCAAGTATATTTATACACTTGGGGGAAAAAGGTGTTTTTCTTTACCAAAAAGCATTAAGGATAGACATGTGGGAACAAGCTAATCTTTCTATTCAAGTAGGGGTTTCAAGATGAACTTCAGGGTTTTTACAACCCACCTGAATATGAAAAATTGTAGGACCACAGAATTCATTAAATACCCTAAAGCACGCAGGATCCAAAATGGCTACAAAGCTCCCCCACAGGAAGCTGAGAAATCATACTTTAAGGTGACTTCTAGTGTTATAAATTCTCTTCTACACCTCTGTGTAAATTACGGTACCTTCCTAAAATGAGACATGATGTCGATGGAGTCCAGTCTCCCAAAAGTGCCCAGAAAATTCTACCTATTACTTGTGAGTCCCTCTGCAGGAGGAGGGCGCTTGTCTTGGGCTTGTCTGTATGCTGCAGGTGCTGCCCCTGTGCCTGCCTTTAAGAAGCCTAAATTTAGCCCAAAGGAGATTCAAACCCATGAAGCTACTCGAAGTGTTTGTTCCTTCAGCACTCAAGCATAGCTTTAGCACATCAGGTTTGTTTGTGTTTTCTGTCACAGAACTGCATTCATCATTTTTCTCACCACTGACACAATCTTTCTGTCCACTGTCCCTTGTGTCCCCCATTGTCAGTTCTGATCTTTCCTTTGCTTTTATTTGCATTTTTGGATCTTTCTTCCACAGCATTTCTCTGCTGACACCAAGGAATTTACCTTTTAGAACAAGTCTCAATACTTTTTGTGATCAACAAACCAATCAATCTCATTGTTAATTACAAGATTAGGTTCTTTGATTAGTGTTAGTTATTTTTGTTTAGGCTTATGGGTCATACTATTCAGAACCAGAGACTACTTCATTCTGCTTTTAAAATTGTGGGTTGTAGTCTACTTCATATGCTTGAAATCAATACTCTGTTTTTCATGAATATTTCACATATATCAATACTACGAATGCCTAATTCCCCATATACTTACCCTGCCTTTCACAGACACTACCATTGAGTGGGTTGATGCAGGTTGCAGCCTTCAGGCCCCGAGTACTGGGTTCTGACAGGATTCCACAGAATCCAGCATCACTGGGCTCAAACGGCATCCACTGTAGTGAACTATTTGTGAATGGGGACATATCTTCCCAGCACCAATAGGATACATTGATCTTCCGAAGACCAACCCATGGCGTCAAGGTCACCTTGGTCTACAGGCAAAAGAGACACAGCTATGAATATAATCTATGTCTTGACCAAAACAGGCTTCTAGATAAAAACCATGAGATGATAATTACCCCAAAGATACAGGAAAACCTCCCTATCCACTGACTCAGCCATTACAGATGAGGACAGACCATCATTTTTGTTACATATCATGCTTGGCACTTCAATATGGCCATTTTACAAAGGACAAACATATAGCTCAGCGAATACAATATATCAAAAACTTCAGAAAGATTAATGGCAAAACAATAACCAAGGTCCAAAATTTCCACATCCTATGACATGCTCTGAAGAGATGGCCACCCCCAAACTTGGTTTAAATGTCTATTCATACACAAAATCATCTTGCCAATGTTTCTGAAATATCAGTTATATGTCTATCCTCAGAATCACTAACTAAGCCTATTCTGGGGCAATGGCTAGTTCACATGATTGGAGATTCCCACCTTCAGCGGGGGGTATTGGCTGGCACTAAATTTTATAGGGAAGAATGGGACAGTAAACCCCTGGGAGAGTCTCTGCTGCTCTACTGACATTTCCTTCCCATTGCATTAAAAAATTCTTTAAAAGTAAAAGTACAAAGTTTAGCCCAGAAATGAAAGACAGTCCTAATTTTGGCAGTTATAAAACAAAATATATAATGTATTTCCATTTTTGAGAGGAAAAAACTATGCATGCCTATTAAAAGACCTAAAAGAAATAAACATACCCAAAAGCAGTTACTTTTAGTTGTAATGAGTCATATTTATTTTATTTTTAATGTTACTATTTTCTAAATTTCCTTTGAAACATGTATTACTTTTTTAAGGAAGAGAGTTAATGCTTTTTAAAAGTCTTTCAATGACTTCCCTTTGCTTTCCTGATAAAACTCAAACCAATTAGCACTGTAAACAAGGCCTCTTAGGATTTGGTCTTGATTCCTCATAAGACCCAGCTACAGCAATTCCCTTTCACCCAGCCTGCAGCTCACCTCTGCATCTTGCATGTGTGGGTAGCAAAGCACAGAGAGCCCTTTCCTAGTTACCTTCCCAGTTCACACCTTCTCATCTTCAGGGGTTACCTCTTTCTGGCTATCTATCAGCCAGCCTCTGCCCTAAAGGCTAGGTTGGGTACTCTTACTTGATTTTCCATACAAGCCTGGGCTCTCAGTCTAGACTTAAGAGCTTAACACAGGACTGTGAATTCCTGTTGTATAAAGGTAGTCCCAGCTAACTGACTACCCCAAACCTCCTAGAGCTAGAAAACCTGAGGAAGAGAGAAGAAGGACCAGAAGATAGGATATCTGTGGCCAGCTGGGATAGAAGAACTCTTCTAACCAGCTATTCTTTGAGACATGTGGAATTGGGAGTCATTGGAAATGAGCAAAACTATAAGCCATCAATTTTCTGAGGAGTGACTATAAGTAAGATCAGCTGACAACTAAGGGCAGAACACTGCAGAGGCCCATATTTGGGGGTGAGGTGAAGAGAAACAAACAACATGAACAGTCTCTAATGGAGATTATGAATTTGAAAAAGCTTTTAAGACATAAATTGTCAAATGTGGCCACAGTGTTCCCCGAGGTAACCACATTTATGATTTATTACCAATGTTTGAGTATCCACACCACACCAAAGTTTCAATGGACAAAAAAAAACTAAATAGAGAAAAGTAAAATATAGGGTACCTCCCACCAGTTGTGGAAAGGCCCTCTAGGTGGTATCTATGGGCCACATGTAGCCAGGACCCAGACCACATGCATGTTCTCACCTGAAGAAGGCTGCACCCAAGGAAGTACTGCCTACTGCTTCTCCCTGCTTGATGAGAAGAGCATTCCCCCAAACTGCTCTGTACCAAAGCCAACACTGTTAAGAGCCTTGCCTTGTGAGTATCTACTTAAGACAGAACCACAGTCTAAGACTTTGGACTCAAAAAGACCAAATGTGATTGTGGAATGTCAGCTACAAGCCACCTCAGAGCACTGAGAAGATGGGAAGAAAACTTGAGGCCTTTCTGTGCTTATAGAAACTCTTGACAAGAAGGTACCTTCTCCTTCTGGGCTGGCCAGGCCTAAGGAAGATGCAAACAAATGTACATTTCTTGGGTGATGAACATTAAATCATATTACACCCTGTAATAATACCTGAAATCTGAGACTCGGGTGGCTTAATTCAGCCTATTTAAGTAGTGGTGACATTCCCCTCCCCCCACAGCAGAACCTAGGGATCAAACAGATAAAAAATCACCTACTGCTGTCACAAGGATATATGCATATATACACACATTACTATTCAATACACATGTACTTATTCAAAGACAATTTAATAGATATGACTAATAAAGTGATAAAAATGTTAAGATAAGAGAGAAGTATTAAAGAAAGAAAATTTGACAGTGCAGTTCCAATGTGTTACACATCACTCCTTCTGCCAAGCATCTTGCAGGTAAGCTGTGTTCATGCCCTCAGCACACAGTGGATACTAGGAACTTAAGTTTTGAGGATTTTAACTCACCATGCTCTGTGATGACTGCATTATTCGCAGCTGCTTAAGGACAAAGTCTATCTTCTTCTGGGTTGTAAGAGAAGCCAAAAGGGCATTGTGGTTCCTACAGGACAATTTAGCATTGTCATAGGTCTCCCTGGCTGTAGTAATTTTCAAGCACATGTTTACGACCAAATGCCAGCCACTGCCACAGATATTTTCTTTTGTAAAGGAGGGGGAGAAAGAAAAGAAAAAAACACAGTTTTAGAAATCACACAAAATTACTTTATTACCAGTTCGAATTATCGAAAACCTAAGTGGTTTTTGTGATTTGAATTCCAGGTACTTCCTTAGGATGTAGTGAGAGTATCAGACACATTACTAAGGACCAAACACAGAATAAGGAATTTAAAAAATGCTTTTAAAAAAATCAGTGGTATTTTCTGGATCTCAAAAAATAGAGGTCAACCCTCCTGTGTCTTAGAAGAAAACACTTGTTTAGTGCCAGTGTTGGATTTTATAAATCTCCTTTTGAAAAACAATTAAAAACAAGACTAAAATTTAAGTAAAGAGTGGAAAAATGAATATGGATATTGGAAGGATGGGGTTAAAAACTCCAAGAATGGAAATGAGCTGGTGACTGAACAGTCTACAGTCTTCAAAAGCTGCACTGTTTTCACATCAAGTGGAAGGTAAAATCAAGTGCACAAATTATTTCAAAAGTAAAGTAAAAAGATCCTTTTGGGGGGGACCCCAGAGTGATACAGCTGTAGCACACAAGGCAAGCCTGTAATCTGCTACTGTGATTGCCCTCAACCCACCCAAAGAACTGCTCAGAAGCTGTGAATACTTCCTGGAAAACAGTGAGCAAAGCAACTTCACTAGAACCAAAGTATCCTGGAGACACCATCAACAATGGTCATTAACAGCCAGTGAGATAAGTGAAAAGTACCTTGGGTCAGGGAATTTAAGAGCAGATAAAACACTTGTTCTCAAAGTGTGGCATCAGTGTCACCACTTATTCAAATGTAGATTCTGGGCCCCACCCCATATTTGTCCCAGAATCTGACTTATAGCAAGATCCGCAGGTATTTTGCTGTGCATTAAAGTTTGAGATGCAATGAGACAAAGGACAAGCCCACTCATGCAAGCTGAATCAACTACTTCCAAAGGACGTTCACAAGGGGTCTGGTAGAGCCAACTGCCCTGTACATGCCTCAGATGTTGGGCAGAGCCACAGAAGTCCCCCTTCCTGAATATCTTGGTTGAGCAAATATATTATTCAGTTTTAGTCATGGCTGGCTGGCCTCATGCTCCCCCTGGCTCATCATCCCAAACCTCAGAAGTGTCATAAATTAAGGTATTTGGGGTTGGAGAGCACCCCAGGAGGTGCTGTGGACACAGGCATCTCTCCTCTCCTTGTCAGAAGGTGCTAACAATCTAATCCCTGTAGTCAATAAGAAGTACTCTTCATTAGGTGCCCAGCAGACTGACTGCTGAGACTGCTGCATTCTATTCCCAGAAGAGCAGGGTTAAAACAATGGAGTGGGCTCAATGATACAGAGCCAAGCTGTCATTTGATTATACAGAGCATCAGATGACGTTTCACTTAGTTTCAAAGAACAGTAGGAGCATACTTAAAAACTGTATTTTTGTTTTAAAAAATAATAACCACCATGAAAATCCCAAGCCAACCAAAATACATTAAACACATACTTTTAACTTGGAAAAACAAATTTTTTTTTAAGTAAAAAAACAGCAACCACAATAGTGGTATGGGGGATAAATGGATGAACTGAGCTTGTCTCTATCCCCTGCTGGGTTTGATTAAGGCTGTACAGTATCACGCCTGACTGGGCATGGCTCAGCAGTTGAGCATCGACCTAGGATCCAGGTGATAAGGGTTCGATGCCTGGTCAGGGCACATGCCCGGGTTGAGGGCACATGCCCGGGTTGAGGGCTCGATCCCCAGTCAGGGGTGTGCAGGAGGCAGCCGATCAATGACTCTCTCATCATTGATGTTTCTATCTTTCTCTCTCCCTCTCCTTTCCTCTCTCTGAAATCAATAAAGGTATATTAAAAAAAAAAAAAAGACTGTACAGTACCAGAGGCATTTGTGTAGTCTTTGGACCCACCTACCCACACACACACGAAGATGCCCCTGTAAGGCCTACCAGGCAGGGCAATGCACTCCTGATTCCGAGGCTCCCACTGGCAGTTCTGGTCCAGGGCACAGCTCCTGCAGCTGGTCTTCTTGTTACAGTAGTACATGGGGTTATCCTTGGGGCAGTTCTCATACCTGGAAATGGAGATCTAGAACACAGTGGACAAAAACTTTCCTTTTATATCCATAGAGAGAACTCATGGTAAGGACAAACAGGATATTAAAAATTGAATTAAAGAGGCAAACTGCAAATGGATAAATAAGGTGCATATGAAGCTGTACTATAGTGAAAATACTTTAGTGAAAGGTTCTGCTCAAGGACATGCCTTTACCCAGCAAGGAAGCAGTGCAGTCTTAAATACCATGCTTCAACCTGCTCATCTGTAAAATGGGGACGTTAAACATAATTCTTTTCAAATGCCTCCCCAACAGGCTAAAAGTTTTATATTTTGTGAACGGCTTTATAGACTGACAAATAATGTCTTATAAACTGTCAAAGACTATAAAAGCTAAGTTGTCATCTTTGTTGCCTTATAACCTAAATAAAAAATTACAAATGGTAAGCATTAATTATGCTAAACCAAGATATAACATTAGACAAGAAGATTTTAGCCTATTATTTCCACAATTTAGTGTGGCTACTACACACCTGACTCACTTTTAGTCTCAAGTCTTAACTTGCTTCCAAAACTTTGCACAGGTAGAGCTCACCAAGCCTCATACCAAGGCTCTAATACTTAGCCACAGCCATGCTAGGGAGTGGGGAGTACTCAAAACACTAGTCCTTCATTTTTCTAAAACACCACATGTGACAAGGACCTTTGGAATTAGAATGCAGAGAGCATCCCTTTCTAAAAGAAAACCCGAGCAATAATAAAATCCAAGTCTACACTCAGGTTTTAAAAAAAACTCTGGGCCAGTTTTTATACCATTCACACTATAATCCACACATAACCCCACTCCAAAATTTTCCATCCTCTGAAATCCTTGAGAAACGGCCCCTCACCTGGCCTTCCGTGCAGCTGTGGTTCCTAGGGACACAATAGTCATTGCACCAGTGGCAGTCATTGGTGTTGGCCGTGCAGCTGTAACAATCAGTGTGTTGGTCACATCTGTCATGGTCAAGAGCTATGAAGAGAAGAAAAACTCATCAACTGTGACAGCTTCTGCTCAGAAAAGTCACAGGCAATTACAGCTGCTATTCAGCGCAATCTGAGACTGAGATTTAAAAAAATGTAACAAGTGATGGGAAATAAAATGAGGGGTGTAACTGGCAGGAAAATATATCTGTGAGTTCAGAAAAAAGTAAACAATCTGAAAAAGCACAATTTTGTACCCACTCCCCCAACAAAAGTACACAGAAAGTGGAAAAAAAGAAGAGAGGCTAATTTAATTCAACAATAGCGAGATACAATGGAAGCAGCTGTGGTTCTTTTAATATTTTTCTCCCCAAGAAAAATATCAATTAGCAATAGAATGAACACCAAGAGCTTCCCTGGAGCCAAACTAAGAAAGGTAGGAAACCAAGCCATTCCTCCAGCTATAAACACAAGGCTATTCTGGGCACAGGAAGTAAGCAGCACCATAGAACCCCAAAGGAGGCACTAGGCTGAGCTGCACTTTGTACACATATGTAAATCCAAGAGTGTAATTTTGAGAACTTCTAGGCTACTACAGACCTGTTACATCTCCTATTGACCCTAGATAGGTCAAGGTCAGCAAAAAAGAGAAGCTGCATAATCATATTGCCTCATCTGTTCAATCACTCATGGAAATAGCATATGGTAGACTCCATGGATAAGAAAAGGCAGGGCCCACCCTCACAAAGACTCCAGCATCCTGCTCCTTAGGTTGTTCTTCTTGCTCTGGCCATCACCCCAAGGACTGAACCCAAACAGAAAGCAGAGTGAACCAGGGAGGTGACATTTGAGATGAGTTAACATAAGATGATGTCATACTGAACCACCTAAGGTAAGTGAATATTATTTCCTATAAATTTTCACCTTTATTTTGAACTTTTAAAATTTGGTTAAAAAATAACTATGTCACTGATTTTATCCCTTTTAGGAGACAGGGACTAACCCTACCAGGTTCTGGTCATCTCAGTTCTCCAGCACTCACCAGCACACAGTGAACCTGGAAGGTTCTTACTGCGGATTTATATTCAGCTTCAGAGTGAAAGATGACTCTACCTACCATAACGCTCATGGCAACTGCTATACCAACCCTAATGGTTAAGAAATTCTGTCAACACACTTTAAATTAATGGAAGTGAACAAATATTCTGCACACACATTTTTCTTACTCTTAATGGACTTTCTCACATATTACTTCGCATTGTGCTAAATGTCAAAGCAAAAGGGTAAGAAGCTAAGTTGGCAAGATGAAAAAAGCTTGAAAAGCATAAGAAGTAGTTCTAGAAGCAGGGATCACTACTTATCATCAAGCAAGTGTTTGTCTTGATATCACTGATGTGCCCAACTGAGAAGCTAGAAAAGAACAGGACTTTGCAAAGATAGCAACTTTGCCTATCCACGAGAACAATCACCCCAACATAGCTTTTCTGGGTTGGCCCACTTCGTCTCATCCTTAACATGAGAACTGCATAATGCAATATGATAGCCACTAGCCACATGTAGTTTTTAATTTAAGTTAGTTAAAATAAAAATCTCAGTTCTTCGGTCATACCAGTCTCATTTCAAAGTGCTCTATAGCCATATGTGACTAGTAGCTACCATATTGGGATGGTGCAGATACAGAACATTTCCATCAACACAAAAGAAATCACCAGACTGAATTTCTTCATACCAACTGCAGCCAGGTTCTGGAGTTGGTATACAAAGTCTACGAAATGCCGAAGAGGTTTTTGTCTCTATGACTCCAAATAGCTCGTAAGAGCCACATGGCATGTTCCCACCCACTGTAAAGATGTTTATAAACCAATTTTTCATAAAGCCTTTGCATAAGTTATTACTGAATATTTTTTGGCTAATAACACGAACCTAAAAAGTATACATATGCTAAGTGTCTTCATGATTAAGATAAAATGAGATCTCAAATTAATTAAATTTTAAAAAGAGAAAAAACATACTTCTTTTGGAAAAACATTCTGATTTTAACTTTTCTTCTTGTGCTTCTGTTGCCAACTCCCAGGAGATACACTGAGATGACGTGGTGTCCCACACACACTGGATGCCAGGTCCTGCTGCTAGACAAGCAGCTTCACTCCAGTGTGCTTCACACCGTTCCGAGGTAAATACCAGGATGTCACTGAGGAGGAGACTATTGAAGCCACCAAATATATACATGGTGCTAAAAGAAAAAACAAAAAAGGGAGAGTAGTTTACTGAAACCTTATGTAAACAAAGGCATGATATACTATTTACAATCTTCAGACAAATCTTATATATCGAAGGTCCTGTAAGAAATTACTTTTCAAGATCTCAAAAAACATTCTTTACCTTTCCCTTCCAAATTCTAACCTTTCATCCCGGCTGTCCTAACCAGAATAATTCCAATAATCCACCTACTCTTTATAGAACTGTATTAAAAAGTTCTCATGATAACACGGTGACTTTAAGCATAATTCCCTTGAATATTTTAGTGTCAGGGTAAGTGAACATCTTTTAAAATTAAACACATAATTCTACATGCTCTTAAATATTAAAAATAAATGTGTATAATTTTAAAAGAATAAAGTCTCCTTAATTAAAACTGTGTAATGATTCATAAACCATCCTACCCATTTATACATTCTTTCAGAAATATCTGACATGTACTATGTACAAAATAAATCTCTGGTTTCTATCCCTTCAGCCTGGAAGAGTCAGTAGAAAGCTCAGCTGCACCTCTCAGCTGCATCAACTGGATGAGGAAACTCCCACAGGCTGAAGCAGCTCAGTTCATCTCTCTGAACTCTATTCATCTCTTATTTTCTGCTCAGTATTTCTTCATCATCTTGTTTGGTCCTTACTATATACTCTTTAGTTGTCTTTCAGTGGGAGACTTTATTGGCTGATGTCAGAAGTGAATATACTCCTTGGGTCCAGTGTCAAGATTTTCAGTGTTTTAAGTCAAGCCCAATTCCCCTTCAGAGATATGCTGATGAAAGTGTGTACCTTAATAATTTCACATTATCTCTGGTGGTTTGGAATGCTGTGCTTGAACAAGGCTGCAAGCAGCTCAGAAGATAATGGAAAAGGCCCTACCGATCTATTTGTTCCTGGCTGAACATGAGGCCTTGAAAACATAGAAAATAAAAGCCAGAGCAGACTTGTAAACTTCCTGGGATTTGCATACATTCCCCAAATCACAAACAGATCTATCAGCAAAGAGTGGAATCCTTACTAGCTTAAATTGTTTAAGCAAAACCACTGACCAATCATTGGCTGATTACTAAGCAACACTGGCCTAGAGTCAATCCCTAGGAAGTCAGGCTGAAAAATAAAAACAAGAAAAAACAGCTAGACAAGAAAATGAGCAGTCAGACAGACACCACAGAATTAATCTAGGCAAGACACTAAACAAACAACAAAAACAACAGCTGGTAGTGATGGTATGGGAATCAGAATCCAGACCTGTTACAATATATTGCCTAAAATGTTTAGTTTTCAACAAAATATTACAAGCTATGCAAAGAAACAAAAAATGTGATCCATACAGTGGAAACAAAACAATCAATCAAAACTATCTCTGAGATTAACCAAAAAACGTATATGCATATATGCATAGCCCATGGACACAGACAATAATGTGGTGAAGGCCTAGGGTGGCGTGGGGGCTGGG